CAGATTGAGGCCTTTTGGCCCACATATTTGTACTGATGTGAGCTCTCCCACTGCATTCGATATAGCACCTTATCACATCTTTGAGATGTCTCAAAGCGCTTCACAGAATATACTGTGAAGTGAATTGACTGTATATTTTGTGGCTGAAATGTGGCAGGCAATTGCGCACAGTAGTGTCTCACAAACAGTCGTGGATTGAAGTGACCAATTTTTTTTTGAAGGAATTATTACCCCCGGAAAAGCGATTGCCAATTGACTGACAAGCAGGTTCCTACTTACTACTCGGTATACAGAGGGGTGTGGAGTAAGGAAACTTGCCCAATATTTCGCCCTGCCGGGAATTGAACCCAGGTCTCTCGCTTGCAGTTGCTAACAACTACCCTACAGAACTAGAAAAAGTGACATTTATTACAATTTCTACATATATAGCTGTAGGAAGTACATTGAACACGATATATTCCACCTAAACCTTTTTTTCCCCCCCATTTGATTTCCCCCTTGGCATTTAATACAGTATTAAGTTTGGTTTGGGATCTTAGCCATTTGCAACAGAAAACCTTTGGTTTATTTTTTCTTTAATCCTATTTTGTACCTCTTCGTCTCTTTCTGCGCTGCTAATTGTTACATATGTAAAATCCCATATATATAATTATTTTAACATACACACGATCTTTATACTGTATTTTCCACCACGGATGTTTAATCAAATGTATGCGACTGAGTTCATGATTGAAACAGGACTGGAGACCTGCAAGAGCACAGAATAACTCAGTTTGCTTGACTCTCAGGATATCCAAAATCATTATAAAACCACTTTTAGGAGTGCTGTTACACTGTTCACATTTTAGTTCAATTCAATCTTGTTTATTCTCATTCTCTCTCGGGGTGTCTTTTTTAAAAAAAAGCTTGTCTCACTGTTCAGACAAAAGCTGCTGCAATTCTTTCTGCATGTGTAAATATTTGATAGAAAACAGAGTGTTGCAGCATGGAAGCAAGTCATTCGGCCCAATTAGTCAGTGGAATCTATACTCCACATAAGCCTCCTCGTCCCCACACTGTTACCCCTCTGTTCCCTTCTCTCTCGTGTCTACAAAAAAGTTTCCTCTTCAATCTGTTGATGCTTTTTGTTTCAACCACAGCTTCCAGCAGCATATTCCACAGTCTCAACACCTTCTGCATAAAGAAGTTTTTCCTAAGCTCCCTTTCAGAATCTACCCCAAGCCATCTATGTACTTATGACTATTTATTATATAGCTTTCACATACAAAATACACATACAGTCTACACCTTAGTGAGATCTATTTACAGTAAATCTGAAGTGCTTTGAAATATCCTCCAAACGTGAAATGCAAATCCAAAGATTGTTATTTTTCCAACTATATTGGTGATGCATTTTAAATGTTCTGTTACTACAATACGAGTGTCTCCTGGAGAGTTAACTGTAAACCTGTGTCTAAGAGTTTTTTGTTGTCTGACAACACGTGTATGCACAGCAAATCGCATATTAAACCTTACCCAATCGAAAAACTGCAATGACACTTCTGATAAAATAAGAAGTGGTGATCTAAGATTAAGCAGTGACAAAACAGTTTGTTTTACCTCAGGGACATGGCTGTAATGTTTTCATTTTCTTTTTGTTATTATAATTAACAATGTTATCAGATGGGAGGAGTAATTGAACAAACCTGAATTACAGATTTTAAAAGCATTATCTTTAATGAGTTTTCTAAGTACCGGTGTAACAACCAGTTAGGTTTGCATTTAAAAAAAGGGTCCACTCAATCCACTAACAAACAGGCTTGTTAGCTTGTAAAAGGATAACTATTCAAATCACGCAGCAGTCTTGAGTTATTTAATTTTCACTGGGATAATATTGTTTAAGGGTTCTAGTAAGGATAAGGGATGATGGTGCTTTGCCTGGTGTAGGATGTATCAAACTGCAAACCCAATTGTGTTTCTGCCATTGCAAATTTTGTCTGCTTTCACAGTGTAAATATCAAGTGTGAATATGATCGAATGTGACTGTGATGGCTTTCAGCTTTGATAGCCGTTGTGCTCACACGAGAGCCAGTAGCAGATTTAAAAGGGAGTTTAGGAGGAACTTGTTTATAAAGAGGGTGGTGAGAACGTTGTTGGAAGCTGTAACTGAAGCAAAAAAAGTATTTGAGAGGAAACATGAGGGAGAAGGGAATAGATAGGTCTGCCTCTGCCATGACCACTGACACTCTCATCCATTTAACACGTCCAGGGTTGACAATGCCAACGCTCTGCTTGCCAGATTCCCCAGCTCTTCCCTACAACTATTCAGAACTCTGCAGCTCATATCCTTTCCCATACCAGGTTCCGAAAGCCTATGACCCCTTCCTTCGCTCTGCTTTGTTGGCTTCTTAACCCCCAGGAGACTGAGTCCAAGACCTGCATTCTCACCTATAGATACTCCTGTGGTCTCACCCCTCCCTACCAGAACTACCATTCTGGAGTTCTTCCAACTCGCCTCTTCACCTTGATCAAAGTTCATCTCAAACAGTCATCTTTCCCCCTTTCCTAATAATAATCCCTCCAAAAACCAAAAACAATAATAAATTGGTCATTTTCAATCCACGACTGTTTGTGGGACATTGCTGTGCGCAATTGGCTGCCGCGTTCGCCCACAAATATACAGTCAATTCACTTTACAGTATATTCTGTGAAGCGCTTTGGGACGTCCTCCCGACGTGAAAAGCGCTATATCAAATGCAAAGATTATTATTATTATTATTATTATTTCAACCTCTATTGTACTTTTAAGGATCCTGAGACATCCTCCTGACGTGAAAATTGCTATATAAATGTAAATTTGTATTATATTAAAGAAGGAATAAAGGGATTTCTGTGATGTATAAACACCAGCACAGATTAGTTGGGCTGAATGGCCTGTTTCCATGCCATATCATACGATGTGGTTGTATACAGGCAACTGTGTGATTTAAGAGCAACTAATTTACAATAAAATGTATTCCACCTCCACCAACTATACAAAAGTATAACGCACACAGCATGCTCAAGAACAGAGTACAATTAAGCTTAGTTGGTAGCACTCTTACATGAATACTATATGAATTACAAGAATTATTGTTATTGTAAGCTTTGTATACAATAATCAGGCGCTGACAGCATCAGCATCCAAGGCTGCACTCTCCACCTCTCAAAGTCAGTCAGGAACCTCGGGGTTCTGTTCGACCCTGAGCTGTCCTTTCTCCCTCATATCTGCTCCACAACTGGCACCGCCTTCCATCACCTCCGGAATATCGCCAGACTACGGCACTACCTCACCCCTCACGCGGCTGAAACTCTGGTCCACGCCTTTGTCACCTCAAGGCTGGACTATGGGAACTCTCTCCTCGCCGGCCTTCCCGGCACCTCCCTCCACAAGCTGCAGGTCATTCAGAACTCTGCAGCTCGTGTACTGTCCCGCACCAGGCTTCGGGAACACATCACTCCCACCTTCGCTCACCTCCACTGGCTCCCCATCCCCCAGAGGATCGAATTCAAGATCCTCATCCTCACCTACAAGGCTATTCACGGCCTTGCTCCCTCCTACCTCTCCGACCTACTATCCCCCTACCTACCTGCCCGTACCCTCCGTTCCTCTGGCCCCGGTCTGCTCCACATCCCCCGCCCCAACCGCCCTACCATCGGTGGCCGGGCCTTCAGCCTCTCAGCCCCGAGGCTCTGGAACTCCATCCCCCAGTGCCTTCGCCGCTTGCTCCCTTTCCTCCTTCAAGGCCGGTCTCAAGACCTTTCTCTTTGACTGTGCCTTCAGCTCCCCTCTCGACTCTCTACCCCCTCCTCGCTCCCTCCCTTCCCTCCCCTCACCCTGACCATTTCCCCCCAATGCTCGGGTCCTGACCCAACTGTCCAGCGCCTTGGGATGTCCTCCCGACGTGAAAGGCGCTCTATAAATGGAATCTTGTTGTTGTTGTTGTTGTGATTTTAGGATTTCATATTATCTGAGTTAAGTCAAATCTATCAGATTGGATCAGCAGATAGAAAGTTTGGATTTTCTCTTATTCACAAATAATTTAAACATTTGCAAACAGAAAATATTTGTGTTTCATCAGATTTTGATTTCTTTAAAAAAAACTCATATTCATACTTTTAGAACACAGCAAGCTTTTCACTCTTTGTATGTCTTTCTTCCACTTTCTTTTACCTTTTTATTATCATTTATTTTCAGATATATTTGAATAATTGCTTCTATTCTATCCCTTTGCATGAATTGCTTTGGCATTTGAAGAAAAAAACTTCATCTATAATGAACAATGATGGTGTTAATTAACTGAGTGCGCAGCTGGATATATAAAGAAATGCAACGTTTCTACTTGTGGAGTCCTGTAGCTCAGTGGTTAGAGCACTCGCTTTGCAAGCGAGAGACCCGGGTTTAATTCCAGGCAGAGGGCGAAACCTTGGGCAAGTTTCCTTACTCCACACAGAGCCTAATAATAATCCCTCCAAAACCAAAACCAATAATAAATTGGTCATTTTCAACCCACGACTGTTTGTGGGACATTGCTGTGCGCAATTGGCTGCCGTGTTTACCCAAAAATATACAGTCAATTCACTTTGCAGTATATTCTGTGAAGCACTTTGGGACGTCCTCCCGACGTGAAAAGCGCTATATCAAAAGCAAGGATTATTATTATTATTATTAAAATGGATCTGAAGCAAATGATGACTGTTTTCAATTTGTTGTAATACTTTGATATTATATTGAGTTCAGATGGTCAGAGCATGGTCATACAGAGATAGTTTTGAGGTACCTAGGCCTCAAAGATGAAAGAATAATGTAATAACATGACAACCCAGCCCCTAATGCATATTTTGAAACCTGTCAGCATCAACTTCAGTCAAAAGGTCAAGCATGGGAGGGCAGAGGCAGCTGAACAGATCCTCTCGATTTTGGTCTCAAGGAACTCCAGCATCTCCTCGCAGTTGGAGTTGGAGGAGAGGATGGTCGAAACATGAGAGGGTGGACAGAGGGTGGCAGTGAAGAAGATGAGCCTGGGGTTGTCCTTGGCCTCCAAGATTACCTTGGAGTGGAACGACGATTTAGCAGAGGCGAGGCCTTTTTTATGTGGCCCAGCCAGATCTGCCGGTGGACGGTTAAATCAGATTTGAGCCAAGGTGCATTCGGTGGCATGCACCTGACCCTTCAGTGAGCGGAGGTGGCTGGTATACCAGGGTGAGGTGAGGGGGCCAAGGACATCGAGAATGGTGGAGAGGCAGTTGTGGAGGAGAGTGACCGAGAAGGATAAGTTGGTGAGGGAGGTCAGCCAGAAGGGGAGGAGTTCGGACGACTCCAGGGCAGCAGAGAGGGAGTGCGAGGAGATTCTTTCCCAGGGGAGTAGGAGACCGAGATGTGTTGGGTGGCAGTGGGGAGAGGAATTGAAGAGTTACGGTAGATGAAATGGTGATCTGAGATGGCTTTATCGTTGACTGTGAGGTCTGAGACACTGAGGCCCCAGGTTATCACCAGGTGGCCATGAACCTGGGTTCTAAGGAATTATTAACAAACAAGCAGACAGGACTTTGGTTGAACAGCTCATTTGAAGGGCAGCCCTCCAACAGTGAGGCACTCCTCTAAGTATTGAAGTGGAATGTCCCAGCAGGGCAGGGCGGGGGGGGCTGGAAACCATGACCTTCTAGGTCAAAGTGAGAGTGCTACCATAGCTGACACCTAAAATGTATCAGAAATGTGCATTTTTTGGTTGAGTGGTATCCTGGAATTGGGGAAGGAATTGTCTCGAAAAAGTGATAAGACACTATATCAAATGCAAGGATTATTATTATTTTATTAATATCCTATCAACAGATAGGATATTTCACCCATAAATAAAACAGGAAGAGATAAAAAAGCATGAAAATTAGATTTCAGTGAGATGGCAGAAGAGTCCAGGAAACACAGGAAGGGATAGGGAATATTTACTAAGAACCTTTACTCAGAAAGTACAGTGCAGAAACAGGCCACTTAGCCCAACCAGTGTGTGCCAGGAGGGTAGATCTGGTAGGAATGAGGAAAAGTAAATGGCACATTCTTTCGGGACCACATTTTGTTCAAGAGTGATTTTTCACTGTTCCACCAATGAAAATGTTGCTTTTGCAAGGCTTGTATCCCGTAGGCAAAGATTGCTTACTATCTGTAATATCTCTACTTCTGTAACGTGTGTTTTCGCTTCAGGGTGGGGGAGAAAGGAAAATATATCCAGTAGGGAGATGGTGGATTCTGCAGCAGTGAGAGTCAGCACTTTTCTTGTGAGAGTCAAAATCCAAAATGCACTTTAAATCAGTGAAGTCCTATAAATTTCAAAGAATTCCTACTTGAGAGGTAAAGAAAATTGTACAGAAAATAACTGCTGTACAGCTCTTTATGCTGCCTCCAAACATTTATGCAAAAATAGATTTAGAATAAATAAGAAAGTTTAAATAAAAGAATACAATAGACAATGATTACTTTACATCTGAAAAAATATTTTGACATTGTACAAATGCAGGCACACATTTGTTTTAGTTAATATTGCCAAGTCCTTTTCTGCCAGCATAGATGTGTCAAAATCACAGGCTGACCTCTGTTCCATGATCTGAAGCCAAGAAATGTACTCTGTTCATCTGGCACACGTTTGAGACTTTTCAGTTTCCTTCCATTGTTTTTGAGATTTTTTTTAAAATGTCAAAACATTTGTTATGGCACTGAAATCTGAAACTCAAAACAAATAATTTGGACAAATTACAAGAGTAGGGGGCTAGCCATCTGTATATAGCTCATTGGCTCACTACTAATTTTGTGTTAAACCGAATAAGGTTATTTGTGCATTCTGAATGCCACTGCAGTTGAGACAGTCAAAGCTCACGAACATTTTTAGTAAACAATAAATGAAATGTAGCAAACCAACACACGAAACCTCTGCTCTCTCGAAGATCGGTTTGGAGCCTGGCTCTTTCACATAGGTGTGATGGACATGAGGTTCCTTGGAAGAGATGTACTTTACATCCTGGATTACTTTATCTTATATAAGGCAGCATTTACACTTCTGTGCAAGAGCTTTTTGACTCCATTGTGGTTGATTTGAAATATGTCACAGGTGAAAAATAAACTCAACAAAAACAGTAGATTTCAAGGGCAAAAAGCATGACTTTGTTTCTGCAGATGGATGGTAGGTTGTTCTGAGGTATTGAAGCTTGAAAAGCACAATATGTAACTGATTAAAGTGTCTGTTTGATTGCAGCCGCCCTCAGAAGGTGTGCCTCTGCCCGTTCCTGCCAGTTCACCCCTTGAATGTCTCGACGTGCCTGTATATAGTTCAGCATCCAGCAGAGGTGAGTGAGGCTATGGGAAGGGGCATAGATCAGCATCCGTTTAGTATGGGAAAGGGCAAGCGGAAACAATCTCATATAAATCAGCTGTGACTTCCATCAGTCTCTCCAAGCTGTGTATGGGGTGTAGCTATTACAAAATCTGCACATTTGTCTAAAACCGGTGGTCTTCCGCACTATTTGCACGCTCTCATCATAATAAAGTAACGTCATCCCTGTTGTTTTGAAACTTGTTGCAGTGACCTTGCTGCAATTTCCTGTTCCAGCCATTTGGAGCTGCTTAATTGTAGAGAGGCAATATTGTGTGACCAGCAATATTATCATTCGCTGAATAAAGCAACCGGTTCATTTAAACTTGCTGATGGACAGCTGCCTGTCAATAGTGCCTAAATAATAATAACAAAAAAAAATGTTGAGTACAATCTGGCAGTGAGTCTGCAGGGTTTGGCATTTGTTCTGTATCACAGACGAAAAAGGTCACACTTGGGGGTTGGAGATAGCTATCTTACAAAACATTAAGCTATAACATCCCTGGCCTTGAAGGCATCCAAACTGCACCTGGCTTAGCCGAGAGGGTACTCAGGCCCCTGACTCACAGTTCAACGGGAGGGAAGCAAGAGCAGCCTGAAGTGATTCGTCTTCCAATATTTAATTTCCTTCCTGAGGGGAAACATCTGTGCTGTATTCATAAATATGTGTCAAAGGCATAAATCTATGCTCTGCAATAATTTGGTGCAGTATAGTGAAGCATCACCATGCTTTACCATGCAGTCTACTGGTTTAATGTTCATTGGCATTCAACCATCTCCCCACTAGTTTGATATTGGCTTCTCAGATATAGACTCCGTGTTGCCATATTTATAACATTATTTTGTAATATTTTGGGGAATAATTCACAGTGAGTTTGGGTGTAGTAATCTATTTGTGATTTCATCATTGCCTATTCTGCCTGATGGAGGCGACTTACTACAAAATCCCTCTCTTCCTGTTTGAGGATGGGATTTGATCTTCAGTCAGTATCTTGAGCAATGTGAGATGGAAGAAATCGATAGAGCTGGGAGTCAAATTTGCACCCCTCTTGTATCTGCTGGACTGGTACAGAGTGCTCATTTTGAAATTGGTGATATTTACAGCATCCATATTTCTGTTTCTGACTATATTGAACAAAGTGACAGTATTTTCTTGTTGTGGATAAATATTAGCTTGCAGTTGAGGTTTGCCAAATAAATATTTACTTTCTCTTGCTGTAAATAGACTCTGCAGAACAGCAAAAACTTGAGCTCAGTGAACGAATTCCCAGTGTGACCCTGAATTGTCCAAATTAGGAAGGCTGCAGGTTTAAATCCTGATGTAAGCTGATCTCAGCTGAGGCAGCAGTGCTGTAGAAGTGCTACAATTGCTTTCATTTTGCTTTAGCTTCAGAACAGGCATTTGCAGCTTCAACAAGTTGACATTAAATGCAGACGCACAGAACATTCGATTTAGACGATCAAAACTCCCCTTTCATTACATCACATTTTAAATTTTCTTTTAGATCCAAACGTCAGGTTACAACTTGTTGCAACTTTGACCACATTTTATCCAATTACTTTATCCAATGATGGGATGGGTCGGGGGAAGAACATGAAGTGAGCTGCTGTTAGCTGAGTGGAGGGAGTCTGTGGGATAGTCGGAGGTCACACAAATGGAGCAAGGCTGTGGGGGGATTTGAACTTGAGGATGACGATCATTAGTTCGATCCACCGGGGGCTTGGGGGTGGTGAGGGTTGAATGAGCCATGTGAGGATGGAGGTCTTAAGACTCACGACGCTTGATATAAAAGAGGACAGGGCTGCAGACCAGGATAACTGGGAGAAAACTGCATGTTTCTTTGACATAGTGATTCCAGGGCTCTCTCTTTATGTCTACACGAATCACAAGACAAATGAACGTAAATGGAGCGTAAAGCTAAGAAGAATAGAATATGATTTGAAAATAAATAATAAAATTGTACTCAATAGAAATGAAAACAGATATTTAAATAGTCAGTCTGCGCCAGCACCAATCCCACAAACAGTGAGCAAAATCAAAATAAAAGAAGAGAATGAAAGGAAAAAAGAGAAAAGAAAAACCTGAGTAAAAATCAAAGGGGTTTGGGGTCTGGGGTTGGGGCTAATTCATGCACACTGAGAAGGGTTGAGGCCTGGATCAGAAACAGTTCCAGTGTATTGGAGGAGAGAACATAATATTCATTGTGTTTCAAAGAATATTAGCACTGTGTTAGTAAGGTTCTAGTTATAAATAATACTTAAATTTCAAAATGTCTCAAAGTGATTAACAAGAAGTTACTTTAAAGTGTAATGAATGTTGTTGTATAGTTATCCGATCGTTTTCTTTTACATATTCAACCAATAAAACTATTATTTTTAACTTGAATAAGAATGTGACAACAGTTACTCTTTTAATTCATGACCTCAGGTGGAAAGAAGTTTGCAACCACCAATTTGTACAAATTTAATAATTTACAAGGCAGCAAAGCTGGCCAAGACTATCGCTATAGCACAGTATGCTAGTGTTCCAGGATTTTGTGCAGTGGAGTGCGATGTGTGTTCACGCTTAAGTTCCCTGTGGAGCACAGGACTGTGCTGACCTGCCACGACATGCGTGTTGTAACACGTTGACCATATTTTATCTTAATTAATTCTTAAAAGCAAAGTAAAGGTCTCGCTCATTCCTTTCTCTCTTTCCCCTTCTTTGTCCCACTCCCCCAACCTGAATTTAAAGCAGGATTGTTTCTATACAAACATATTATTTGTTTGGTCAGCCAGATGTCTAACACATTCGGAAACTCCTTACCATGTCTCAAGAGTATCCCAAACAGACTGAGAGTTCCACATATATATATATATATATATATCACCTGCACATGGCATTTCCCTGTGTCTGTACTCTCTTCCTGGAGGGATGCAGCATGTAGCTGATCCTAGAGAGCATTAGGTGCAGGATGGCAAGAGCCAAAGTTTGCGGACCCAAAAAGGGTGCATTAAGGTACTGCTTGAGTTCAACCAGTTAAAAACAAAATAGCTTGCCATTGATAGCCCTGTCTAGCAAGTTTCTCGCTGTTTGTCCAGCTGGAACCACCCTACCCATTAAGGTTTTAGCTTGCATGATTAACATGAGTTGAGTTGAAAAATGCCTGCTCCCAATCAATAAATTCTTATAAATTCCCAAAGGATTTCTCAGAAACTTAGCACTAGCTTTGGGAGAATATAAAATGGTTAAAGTAGGGTTGATTTCTCAGATCCTTCTCATCATTGTGCAGTTTTCAAGAGTCATTTGTGGTATGCATGCTCCATTTTCATAATATGAACTGCAAAGAGAAGATAATAACCTGTAATGGACTTCAAAATTGTGAATTGACATTTGATGATTGAGTTGATTTTACCAGTTTAATGGCTGGAACTTTAAAATCCCTTTGTGTTTATCTTTGAATCAGGAGAGTAGAGTACTGCGAACTGTCCCACTGCTAGCTGCCTGCCTTCCACCAGACAAATGCAAAGTCTTTGTTGGACGCCGGTTTAACGAGGACAGGTAAAGATGCAATCTATTCTATAGTTGCTGTTATCTAAATTGACAAGGAAATAGATGCCAGGTGCACAACTTTGCTGGACCACCAAAGAAAGCAACCATGGATAACCTCCTTGGCTGCCCAGGGAAAAGAATTCCACTGATACATCATCTCAAGACAGTTCTAAAACTAGAAGAATAACACATCGTACTAAAAAAATTCAGTATGAAATAATATAAAACGCTCCAAATCAGCTGTCAGAAAGACATACAACTGCACATTTTCTGCTGGGTGGCACTGTCATTCATATAATAATCTTATATTTGGTATAGTGTCTTTCACGTTGGGAGGACTCCCAAAGTGCTTAACAGGTTATACTGTAAAGTGTAGTGACTGTGTTCTGTGGTGAAACAGAGCAGCCGACTTTGTGCACAGCAATGTCCCACAAACAGCCATTAAGTAAAAGACCAATTTTTCTTTTGGCCACAGGATCTTTAATCTACCTGAATAGGCAGATGGGCCTTAGTTTAATGTCTCATCTGATTGCTGCATTGGAATGTCAGCCATTAAGCAGCTGTGAACTCAAAATCCCTCGAGTCCACAACCTTCTGATTCAGAAGATTTTTTTGGTCAGTTGATGGTAAACGTGTAATCCCATCGCCACACCTATGATTCCAAAGCAGGCTTAAGAGTTCCATATACGCCACTTACACATCCCATGTCTAGCATTGAATGTGCGCTCTCTCCCTGAACCTTGGTTACCAAATTCCAGAGGGTATTAGGTGAAGGTTGACAAGAACCAAAACTTAGGGAGCCCAAAATGTGCATTGAGGCCCTGCTGGTTACCGCTAAAGTCACGTAACTTGCGATTGGAAGCACCAAAAAAGTAAATCCACCAGAACCAGCCAGGACTGACTCCCAGGCTGGCTCTTGTTGCAGTCCTATAATTTGGACTATAGTATTTAGAGTATTTATCTGACTGAATGCAGAGTTTGAATTCTCAAACCAGATCACTCCTCCCCAGTCATCACAGCCGTTCAAGTGGTGAACATGCAAAGTTGCTTTAGCGTTTTGAGGGCTAGATCTGGGTTAATTAGAAAACACACTCGATCTCTGGCTCATTTATTAAAGCAGTACATGTGTTGCAATGCAGACTTAACTTTATCCCTTGGTATTAATTTAATTTAATTTTAGGCTCATTTAAAGGAATATACATGAATTGCTGCAAGGTTTTTGAACAGTTATGGATTTGTCATTCAGCACTTGTCAGTCCTACACTTCAAACAAATGAAAGATTCAAGTATCTTGCTGTATTTGAAACAGCTCCATTACATTTATCCATAATATAAAAACATGTGCAGATAACCTGGAAGTTCCAACAGAGCCTGGAAATCCTCATAACTCAATGACAGATTATTTAAAAAGAAATTCAACTCCATTTTAATATTCCTCTCCTCATTCTGGAGTTTTGTAGCTCAGTGGTTAGAGCACTCGCCTTGCAAGCGAGGCACCTGGGTTCAATTCCAGGCAGGGCGAAACCTTGGGCAAGTTTCCTTACACCACACGCCTAATAATAATCCCTCCAAAACAAAAAACAATAATAAATTGGTCACTTCAATCCACAACTATTTGTGGGACACTGCTGTGCGCAATTGGCTGCTGCGTTTCGCCCACAAATATACGGTAAATTCACTTTACAGTCTATTCTATGAAGCGCTTTGAGACATCGAGAAGACGTGAAAAGCGCTATATCAAATGCAATGATTATTATTATATTATTATATTCTGAAGGGATCGTTCCCTCCGGGATTCCTTAGTTCATTCCACCGTCAGACTACCAGCTGCTCTCCTTCCCCTGGCACCTTCCCATGCCAGTGCAGGAGATGTAATACAGGCCCTTTCACCTCCTCCCAGACCACTATCCAAGACCCCAAACACAGCTTCCATGTAAGACAGCAGTTTACATGTACTACAACCAATGTAGTATACTGCCTTCATGCCTTCATCACCTCCAGGCTCAACTATGCAAACGCCCTTCTTGTCGGCCTTCCCAACTTCTCCCTCCACAGGCTGCAGATAATTCAGAACTCTGCAGCCCGTGTCCTCTCCCGCACCAAACTCTGTGACCCCATCTCCCCCACCCTCGGCCAACTCCATTGGCTCCCTATCCTCCAGAGGATCCAGTTCAAGATCCTGGTCCTCACATACAAAGCCCTCCATGGCCTCTGCCCACCTACCTCTGCGACCTCCTAACCCCCTACCAACCTGCCTGTTCCCTCCGCTCAGCCGGCTCTGGCCTGCTCCATGTCCCCTGACCCACCCGCCCCACCATTGGAGGGAGAGCCTTCAGCCACTCTGCCCCCAATCTCTGGAATTCCATTCCGCTCCCTTCTTAGCCTCCTTCAAGTCCCGCCTCAAGACCCTCCTCTTCGGTCATGCCATCGGCCATTCCCTTCCCCTTCCCTCCCCGACTTCAGCTCGGGTCTAAAATGCTGTACTCTGTCCAGGGCCTTGGGAGGTCCTCCCGACATGAAAGGGGCTATACAAATGTAATCTTGTTGTTGTATCCGTTGCTCATGGTGTGGTTTCCTCCATATTGGGGAGACTAAGTGGAGATTGGGTGACCAATTTGCAGAACACCTCCGTTCTGTACGCAAGGTCAACTCTGATCTTCCCGTCTCCTGCCATTTTAACTCACACTCCCATTCACAGTCTGACCTCTCCATCCATGGTCTCCTACGCTGTTCTAATGATCCTCAGCGAAAGCTTGAGGGACAGCATCTTATCTATCTGCTGGGGACCCTACAGCCCTTTGGCCTTAATATCAATTTCAGCCACTTCAGACCATAACAGCTCATCTTCCCCCCTCCCCTCTTTCTGTTACCAGAAGAGTTATCTTCTGTTATTAATACAATCATCACCCCAGACACTCTTTGTCTCTCTCTGGTGTGTGGCCTGTTCTGCACCATTAACACCTCTTCTCCCCAGTTTTGTTTCAAACCCCCTCCCTCCCCACCCGCCTTTTGGTTCATGCCACTATCACCTCTTTAACCCATCAACTAACACATTCTCTCCTTTGTCTTATTTTTGGTCTTCTTTGTCTCACTTGTCTTTAAAAACCTCTCCCTCCCAACATGCCCCAGTTCTGACGAAGGGTCATGGACCCGAAACGTTAACTCACTTTCCTTTCTCCATAGATTCTGCCTGACCTTCTCAGCTCTCTGTTTTTGTATCAGATTTCCAACTTCTGCAGTATTTTGTGTTTTGTCCATTTTAATATTGTTTTGTTTGGTTTTGCTTTTTTTATATAAAATTGCATTTTGACTTTTTTGCTGAACAGTGTCTGGTAACTGAAATAACTGTCATTTCGCAATTTATTGCCCACATCTGTAATAGGAATACTGCTTCCTTACCAGTTTTGCTGATTTTGCCAGTGATGTTTGCCATTTTTAAATCTTCTTAACGGTATCTTAAGACAAAAAAAAATTTAAACTAAATCCCACCAATTTTTTTCACTCCCTTGCACTCATGAACACATTTAATGCCTTTTTCCTGCTGCTGGGGTATGGCTTCACAGGTGTATTGTCACTATAATAATAATAATGCTTGCATTCGATATAGTGCCTTATCACGTCTTTTAGATGTCTCAAAGTGCTTCACAGAATATACTGTGAAGTGAATTGACTGTATATTTGTGTGCGAAACACAGCAGCCACTTGCGCACAGCAGTGTCCCACAAACAGTCGTGGATTGAAGTGATCAAGTTATTATTGTTTTATTTTCTTGAGGGATTATTATCACTCACACAAGGGGCCATTCTTCAAATATGAACCTTGTCAGTGCGTGATGGTATTTGCTGGATTCAATCCACACCCATCAGGTTTTCTAGATTGTGATCAAGAGTGGGAATTCTTCCCAAACCCAGGAGGACCGAGGCCAATTATAGTGTCCTAATGAGATTGGTTAGCTCAGCACACATTAAGATTTGAATCCGTAATCTTCAACCTTCATGGACTAGTGTTGCATTGGCCAGTATCTTTATGCACAAGGCCATCAGGGAAGCTACAAAAATCAAGTTAATCAGATTTTTTTCCAACCAACTTTTGATAGCAGAACCTTATTGTATGTGATGCTTATCACTAAAAATAATGAGACATCAGAGTGTCTCTGTACCATCAATGCTGTAATTCAATTGGTTAAGTATATCCATTTGCAAGTGAAACTCATCAAGATTGTGAAATAGAGGAGAATTTTTAAATAGTTTTTCCCAGGTGAAAAAGAAAAGGCTGAGTACTCAGCTGTTACATTTACATGGTGTACCTTTTGATTGTGATGGGACCAATCTATCAGCAAATCTAGATTGTTACAATTTAGTTAGTAGGTTCATATGTGACGCTAGTATAATGAGTATAAAGTGTTTGTTTTGTCGCATATCAACCTAGTAATTAATCTCTAGATTTATTCACCTACAAACTGCAGTCATAACACTTTACAATAAATCCTGTGAAGCCCTCTGAGACATTCTCTTGACGTAAAAAGTGCTATATCAAATGTAAGGTTTATTAATATTGAAATGTCCCGATGAAGAACTGTGACATTTTAATGTTTGACTCAAAATCAAAGGTTATGACATAGTATTTAGCAGTTGACGTATCCTTTTTTCCAAGTGTTGTCAATGCTGCTACATCATTCAATTATTATATATGTGTGTGTGTGGGGTATATATATATTGATTGGTCTTTTGTGAAATTAAAGAAAATCCTAGCAACAATCAATACCCTTTCAAAAACTGATCATGTGATCCTATAGTTTTCCTGAGTTGTATAATTGTAGTGGTGCAGATTAGCCATAGCTGATATTTGCTGGAAAGGTCATGTGTAGGCATAGAGGACAAAATCAAACCTGACTGTGATATCTCTCCACTGTCAAGTAGCTTGCTGATATTTACCATCTACGCTCACATGTGAAGAATGACCACCATTTTTAGTAGTTGTTCAGTATCATAGCCTATCATTGCCTTCAG